CCCTCAACCGAGGGGGCGCCTCGCGAGCTAAGGCGCGCGCCTGGCCGGCTCCCTCGGCGTGCCCGCGCCCGCTCCGAATTCAAGCTGGTCCCGCCGGGGGCTAAGCTCAGAGCCCGCGGAACTTCCCAGCCCGGCGTCGGCGACGAGGAGCGACCCGCAATAAAACAGCACGCCGGGCTGTGCCTGCTTGCTCGCTTGCTTGCAGCGGATGCCTACTACTCGCGACAGGCAGCAGCCAGCCAAACTGAGTCTGTGGAATCGGTTGCCAGGGTCGGCGAGCAGCGGCTCCCGGAAGTCCTTTGCCGCTTTGGTAACAATGGAGCGACGGGACCACTACGGCGCTCCTTCCGGTTTCGATCCCGCTCGCCGCGCTCTCCTTTACCGAGTTTGCCTTTGACCCCGGAAGTGAGGTCTTCCGCCTTCCTCCCTCCCCCAAGATGGCAACAGCTGAAGACGAGTTACTGCTGCCGCGGCTCCCCGAGCTGTTCGAAACCAGCAAACAGCTTCTAGACGAAGTGGAAGTAGCGACTGAACCCAGCGGTTCCCGAGTGATCCAGGAAAAGGTGGTCAAGGGACTAGACCTCCTTAAGAAGGCTGCCGAAATGTTATCGCAGCTCGAATTGTTCAGGTAATGGGGGCCAGGGTACTAACGGTTGAGAATGGAGGTAATAATGGTTACCAGGGGTGGAGCCATTGAGCCCGGGTGGAGGAGACCCTTTCGGAAGGCCTAGGAACCTTTTATTCCTACCTCCCACTGCGATCTTATGTACATTGTTTACATTCTCCACCTGCCTTCGAGATGGTTGATATCCCACGTCTGGGCTCCCTAGTGTTGGCTGTTTGCATAGGCACTGGGTGTGAGCGGCCAGCCACTTTCCTTCCTCCCGCCTTCTCCCTGCACACACCCACCGCAGCCCTCCCCTCCCCTCCCCTCCCCCAGGAAGCGAGGGCAAATGCCCGTCCAGGCTTCACAGCCTCCTTTTTGCTCTTTCCAGCCGAAATGAAGATTTGGAAGAGATTGCTTCCACCGACCTGAAGTACCTGATGGTGCCAGCATTTCAAGGAGCGCTCACCATGAAACAAGTCAACCCCAGCAAGCGTCTAGATCATTTGCAGTGGGCTCGAGAACACTTTTTAAACTACTTGATTCAGTGCCAGTACTATCATGTGGCAGAGTTTGAGCTGCCCAAAGCCAAGGACAACTCAACTGATAACACTGCTAGTTCCTCCATGGCCTATCCTAGCCTCGCTGATATGGCATCTCAAAGACAGGCTAAAATAGAGAGGTGGGTCAATAGCTATAATTTGAGGCCTGCCCAATGGCAGTGCTGTTGGGGCGGGGTGCATGTTTTGGGGGGCAGGGAGGGGAACAGTGGTGTCTGTCACTCTTTTGGTTCCTATTGAGCATTAGGACCTGATGAGAGTCAACTCTCTTGAGTTTTTCAAGAAGCCCCTGCTTTTCTTGAGACGGTCATACCTAACCTTCACACCCCTGCTCCCCTGTGGTTGCCAACAACAGAATGTAGTTTAGCATAGTGTCTCCCAGTTTTTTCCCACATCGCAGCATAGCATTATTCATATGTACAGTGGGGTAGATATCTCAGAACGGCACGACATCTTGTAGCTATAATCCATTGATGAGCCCCTGAGTGAGAAGTTTTGTTCAAACAGAGTAATGGATCAGGTGTGTAACATCCTGAACTAATCTTAGTCCTAGCACAGCTCCATCGTGTGACCTTGAACAAGTTGCTTACTCTCAGTCTTAAAAAAAAAACATGGAATGGGTGCTCACAGTGTCTAAGAGCTACTGTAGGCACTGGAGATACAAACTGAGTGGGGGAGCTCAAATAAGTATGGGTGGTCTCCACCTGGGAGGAGGATATAGTCTGGTGAGGAAAAGAGGTATAGAAGCAAAGTAGCAATATAAAATGATGTGATAGAGAAATGCACGGGTACTGTGAGAGCAGACAGAAAGGAAACCTGACCAAAGAGGGAGCAGGAGAGAGGAGAAGGCTCCCTGGAATAGATGGCTCCTGTGGCGAGTTGTTTAAGGGTGAATAGGAATATTATTTGGAGGAAGAGGAAAGGAGGGCATTAGCCAGCAGAGCTGGTAGTGTTAGTGAAGCCACAGGGGCATTGAAGAGCACAGTGCTGGGGTGGGGAAACAACTAAGCGATTAGATGAGGCTGGAACATGAAGGGGGGTGGGTGGAGAAGGGGAAGGAATGATGCTGAAGAATGTTTTGGGGTCCGGACCAAGGAGAGCTTGGGATGTGAGGAAGGTGAAGGAACAGCCCTCCTGCTAAGAACTTGGGGAGGGATTTGAATCCTAGTTCCACCATTTAATCACTCTCACTTTGGGTAAGTTGCTTAATCTCTTGGTGCCTTAATTTCCCCGGCTGTAAAAATTGGATAATAATAGGTCTTTCTTCATAAAATAGTTTTGAAGATGAAAAGAGAAATACGTGAAAAGCACTTAGCACAGTGGCGGATGCAGTAAGTACTCACAGTCTGCTATTGTTCTGTCTTCGCTGCTGACTACAGGTTGTGGAGGCAGAGGCCTGGGTTTGAGACCCAGCTTTACATATAAGCCAGTGGACTTTGGGCAGCTCATTTCACCTCTCTGAGCCTCAGGATTCCTCATGTGTGAAATCATGTGCAAGTAATAAGGGTACCTGTCTTGTAGGATTAAGAAACAAAAAAGATAGAGCACATAAAACAGCACAGCATCGGGCACATAGTTAATACTATATGAATGTCATTTACTAGTAGGCCATGCTAAAGAACCTAAACTTTGGTTGGTGACTGGGTTCCACTGGAGGTTTTTGGTTTGGGGGTTTTGTAAAGAGAAGCGTTGTCATGTTTGCATTTTGACTAGCACACGGTGACAGCAGTTAGGAAGCAGTGTGACGGAGTTAGGTCACAAGTGACGAGGCCTCACTACGGCAATGGCAGAAGAGATGAGGGGGATATATTTATTTAGAAGGGTTGAGTCTGCAGAAAACCTGGTGATCAGTTAGTTCTGGGAGGTGGGGTAGACGGAGGCAACAAGGAAGATGTCCATGTGTCTGTCATAGGCGCATGGCTTGTGGAACTCATTAAGATGGGGAATAGAAGAGGAAGAACAAATCGGGATAGGAGAGCATATGAATTCAGTATTGAGCCATGTTGCATTTAAGGTGTCTAGGAGTCATCCACGTAGATGGATCTGGTAGTCTGTGGCTCAGGGGAGAGGTCTGGGCTAAAGAGCCGAAAATCGATTCATTCATATGGCAAATATGTATTGAGCCTTTCTTTTGGGCCAGGAACTGTTCTAAGTAATGGAGAACCAGATGAAATCCATGCCCTCATGAAGCTTTTATTTTGGTGGAGGAGACAGACAGTAAGCTGGTAAATAATAATGGAATTTCAGGTGGTAATGGTCTGTAAAAGAATAATGAAGTATGGTTCAGGGTTAGTTTGTGACAGTGAATAATTTTTGAGGAAATGGGATAGGCTGATAGGAAGTGGAATTCAGCATCCTGTCTTTTGTAAGATGGGAGCAGCCCACTGGCGTGTAACAGGTAGTTTAAACAGTGAGTTTGGTATCCAGATAATTATAGTACACCCCAAAAGAGGACTGTAAATGCCATAGAGATATAGGGTTGTAGAGAAAGACCAGGGAGTGAGCAGGAGGGATGAGGACGAGGTTTCAGCATGTAATGCATGTGAGATGAGCCTTGAATTGTGCTTAAAAACAGAAATCACAGATTTTCCTGAATGTAAAAGTAATAATAGCCATTGTAGAAAGTTGGAAAAACAGTATTTTTTAAATTAAAAAGGCCTCAATCCTAGCACTCGGAGATGATCTTTGTTAACTTCCTGGTGTATTTCCTTCCAGATACATAGTTATTATAGTTAATAAGTTTGGAATAATACTGTATATATATAGTTTTTTTATCCTTTTCAAACCTAACATTATATTGTGAACTTTCCCCATGTCTCTTGAAACCATGCTATTTAATGGTTGCATAATTTTCCATCCCACAGTTGTACCATCATTATTCAGACTAATCTTTTACTGTCAAATACTTAGACTATGTATAGGTTGGGGTCTTCTTTTATTTGTTTTTGTTTTTGCTCTTCTAAGTAGTATTATGAACAGACATCTTTAACTGCATCTGTCACTGTTTCCGTAGGATAGATTTCTAGAAGGACCGGTGACTAGATCAAAGGGTTTGAATACTTTAAGACTCTTGATGGTAGCAACATTGCTATCCACAACAACAGAGTTTTAGAATATATCCCACTGCCCTGGTCTTAGATGTTAACACTTAGAAAAGCCAATTGGGAAAACCAGAAAAGGTATCTCATTGTTTTTATTTGCATTTCTTTGGCTAGAAACCTTGGTCTTTGAACATTTTTTTTAAAATGTCTGCCAGACAAGATAATAGTGTTATCTTTATGCTAATGGATCCCACATTTACATCACTAGCCCAGACCTTTCCTGACCCTCAGACTCATCCTTCTAACACCCTGTATGGATGTTTCACAGACGTCTCAAACTTAACATGGCCTAAATTGAACCCTTGGCTTTTTAACCCCCAGTGTGCCCCCACACCCAGGTCTTCACCATCTCAGTGAGTGGCACCACCATTCACCAGGGTGTTTAAGCCAGAAGCTAGGAGTCAGCCTCGGTTCCTCCCTTCTGACTCTCCACATCCGGTCCAGCAGCAAGGCCTGCCAGTTCTAGCTACAGAATGAATCTGATGTCCTGTTTCTCTGGACCTCCACTGTCCTACCTCAGTGTGGGCCACTAGCACTTCACCTGGGAGAGCCAGACCGCCAACTCCAAGGCCCTGCACAATCTGGCACCTGCTTCTCTTCAGTCTTTCCTTGTTCACTAGATTCTAGCCACAGTTGCCTTCTTTCAGTCCTTTGCACAGACGCAGCTCCCTCCTTCTACAGTCTTGGTACATGTTCTCTTTGCAAGAAGTGCTCTTCATTTTTCTGTCTTCCTGAGCTTTGTCTCTCTCCTCTCCTGGAATGTATACTCCTTGAGGGCAGGAGCTGTTTCTGTCTTGTTCACTGTGGTATGCCTAGCACAGGGCCTGGCACATAGGAGGTGCTTGAGAAACATTGATTGTTGACAAGCAGGAGGAATAACGAGCAACAGCCCACGGCAGGGTAACTTGAGGTATGTACAGGGCATGCAGAAGAGTCGTTTGGCAGAAGCAGAGAGTACTATGGTCAGAGGTCTGCAGAAGGAAGTGATGTGTGTAGAATCCTGAAAGGGAAGAGAGAGGCAGAAAGACAAATTACCATGTTATAATAGTACTTCAGCTGGGAAAAGAGATAAAAATGAAGTGACAGCTGTCAAAGGTATTACTTTTGCAAGAAGCATTGATACGATTAGAAAACGCATTGTTGGGGGGCGCCTGGGTGGCTCAGTCGTTAAGCGTCTGCCTTCGGCTCAGGTCATGGTCCCAGGGTCCTGGGATCGAGCCCCGCATCGGGCTCCCTGCTCCCCGGGAAGCCTGCTTCTCCCTCTCCCACTCCCGCTGCTTGTGTTCCCTCTCTCGCTGTATCTCTCTCTGTCAAATAAATAAAATCTTTAAAAAAAAAAAAAAAAAAAAAAAAACGCATTGTTGGGTGTTATGCACAAACAATGAATCATGGAACACTACATCTAAAACTAATGATGTAATGTATGGGGATTAACATAAGAATTAAAAAAAAAAAAAAGAAAACGCATTGTTGAGATCCTTTATGATTTTCTGTAAGTCCTCCCTCCTCCCCCACGTCACGACTTTACGTACTGAGGCCATCCTACATAAAGCACCTAAATAGTATATCCTCTCTCAAAACCCATTTCTTTTGGGGGGGGGCATCATTTTGTTAAGCACCATACATCATTAGTGTTTGATGTAGTGTTCCATGAGTCATTGTTTGCATATAACACCCAGTGCTCCATGCAGAACGTGCCCTCCTTAATACCCATCACCAGGCTAACCCATCCCCCTACCCCCCTCCCCTCTAGAACGCTCAGTTTGTTTTTCAGAGTCCATAGTCTCATGGTTCGTCTCCCCCTCCGATTTCCCTCCCTTCATTCTTCCCCTCCTGCTATCCTCTTCCTTTTTTTTTTTTAACATACAACGTACTATTTGTTTCAGGGGTACAGGTCTGTGATTCATCAGTCTTACACAATTCACAGTGCTCACCATAGCACATACCCTCCCCAATGTCTATCACCCAGCCACCCCATCCCTCCCACCCCCCACCACTCCAGCAACCCTCAGTTTGTTTCCGGAGATTAAGAATTCCTCATATCAGTGAGGTCATATGATACACATCTTTCTCTAATTGACTTATTTCGCTCAGCATAATACCCTCCAGTTCCATCCACGTCGTTGCAAATGGCAAGGTTTCATTCCTTTTGATGGCTGCATAATATTCCATTGTATATATATATACCACCTCTTCTTTATCCATTCATCTGTCGATGGACATCTTCTTCACATATCCTCTCTACTCTGATTCCCATCTATGAGAGCGGGAGTCTGGTGGAGTAACTGCACCTCCATTCTTGTGACAAACAGAGAAGTAGAAGCTGGGTAAGCAATGAGTCTGGTGTTCTCCTTACTGAACTTAGATTCTGAAGTCACAATTGGGTACATATCCATAGACAGATGGAAATGTAACTAAAACTTAGGAGACTGGTGGCTAGTGCTAAATCTTTAGGAGCTTTGGTGGATATGGATTGCTGAGGAAAAATATGTAGAGAGAAAAAAAGCCAAGGATAAAATCTTGGGGCAAGTTAAGGGAGAAGAAAGAGGAAGGAAAGAGCAATCAGAGGTCAGAGACTCAACAAGGTGCTTATAAAAGCCTGGAGAAGAGAGAGAGCAAATGTCTTATACTCTTTGAAATTTCTCCCTGTCAAGCCCTCTCCCAGATATGGTAGCACTTAGTTTGTGTTACTTATCACAGTGTAACTGTCATTCTCTAGACTTGAAACTCCTAAAGGTCAGAGACCTGGACTCACTGCATCTTTACTATCCTAATTGTATCGTCGTATCTTGGGACCCAGCTCAGTAAGTGGATCATGGTAGGTACTTTAAGCATCTTGGGAGGACCAGGTAGTGTTCATCAGAAAAATGGAAGCAGTATGGTGTTGCACATAAAGCCTGGACTTTGGAGTCAGATGGACCTGGAGTGGCCAATCCTGTTTCCTCCACTTAATAGATATGGGGCATCGCCTAGCCCTTCCTGGCCTCCTCCTTCCCATCCCCTGACAGTATCTGCATTCTGTTGCTGCTTATGAAGTACTTTCATGTGTATTGTTCCATTTGATCCTCTTAACCCCAGGAAGCAGATCTTCTTATCTCTATTTTAGACCTAAGGAAATGGGTTATGAGAATTTTACTTCTCCAAAGTTACACACCTCACAAGTGTCCAGGCTAGGATTTAAACTTGGGTCTTCAAATTCCCAGTTCTCTCCACTATAGCACAGAAAAGAGAAGAGTCATCATTTGAAAGGATAGAACATGGATTGAGGGAAGGTGTTCTCTAGGATAGGGGAAAGGCACCAGTAGAGTGAAAAGTTGTAACTGCTTGCTGATGGCCCGATGATTGACAGAGTGAGGCCTGGCAAGATGTGGGTAGGGACAGGATCGATAGCAAAAGTGGAATGGTAAAGACCTTGCCCTGGTAAAGACAGCGTTAGCTCCTTAAAGATGAGGAAGGGTGAAACTACAGAGATTTTAAGATAAAGAGGGACATTGAATTCTCTTGTCGGTTGGCCATCTGGTGAGTGTGATGGTGGCGTGGAATCCACAAAAGATGAACAGAAGGAGAGCTGAGCACGAGTGACCGACCGCTCGGCCAAAGTTTGATCATTTGAATCTGTTGTTGACTCATTTGACACAAATTTATAATTCGTTAGCTCTCTGCAGCAGCTTGAGAACAGAAAAAGGGAATGGGGAAAGTTGTCCAGAGTCAGAAGGGTGACAGGCGTTGGGGATTCTAAGGTGGTAGGGAGTGTTTTCATGTAATGGCTCACCATGGGAAATCGAGAACAGTAATGAAAGGTCTAGGACAGTGGTTTTCAATCTGTTCCTTGGAGCTCTAAGAATCCACCCCAATGCCTGGCTGGGTAGGGGCGATGTTGGGAGCCCTCCTCTGATTTAACCAAGGTGGATTTTGATCTGTTTATTACTTATTGGAGTTCCAAATAAGTTCTCATTAAGAAGAAAGGGTTCCTCGGCTAAGACCAAAAGGTTTAAAAAACACTGGCCTAAAAAAAAGCAGGAGTGGAGGAGCTAAAGTTTCAAAGATGACAGGAGCGAGGAAGTGAAGAAGCAGTCCATGAATGGGGTTAGACCGCGAGCATGCAGAGAATGGGAAAGGAAACACAAGGACCTTATTCAAAGGACCGGTAGACTGACCCAGAATTTACCTTGGATTTTATACACTCTAAGGCCCTGGTAGGGTTTCTTTCCTGCTGTAGGTACAGCCAGGAAAGAGGGCTGGGGTAGGAGTGGGACCAGAATTAAACATTCTCAAGTGATATCTATAATAGCATTTGTGAGCTAGGAGTTTATCTTTGTGGTGTTTTGCTCAGAGGCTACTGATGATGGTGTTGTGACGGTTATTTGTAACACCATATAAACTGTTTCACGTGTTGGGTCAAAGGATCAGAAGAGCCTAAAAAGTTGGTATAATAAAGAATGTCTCCAGAGCAGTGGTTCTTGACTTTTCATGGGTCATAGACCTTGCTGGTAATCTGATAAAAACTACAGACCTCTCCCAGGCCAAAAAAAGAAGTAGAATTCTGCATAAAATTTCAGGGAATTCAAGGCCCCCCTCCCCCCAGACTCTGTCCGTGGACCTCAGGTTAAGAACTCCAGATTCGAGGGCGCCTGGGTGGCTCAGCCGGGTAAGCATCTGCCTTCGGCTCAGGTCATGATCCCGGGGTTCTGGGTTCGAGCATCGCGTCGGGCTCCCTGCTCGGCGGGGAGTCTGCCTCTCCCTCTCCCTCTGCCTGCAGCTCCCCCTGCTTGTGCTCTCTCTCTGTCAAATAAATAAATAAAATCTTAAAAAAAAAAAAAAAAAAAGAACTCCAGATTCCAGTGAACACCTGCAGAGGAGCATCTGATTCTGGAGATCTAGAGTGGGGTTCCAGTCATAGGTATTTCAAAAGACTTCTCTTGGAAATTGTGGAACTTTTCCTTGACTCCTCTCTCTCTCTCCTTCTCTCTCTCTCTCTCTCTCTCTCAAGCCCTTACATCCAATACATCTGTTTTATATTTTAAATACATCCACATCTCACCACCTCCCTATTTCAAGTCACTGTCTCTCATCTAGATTGTAGCAATATCCTCTTAATTGATTTCTCTGCTTCCATCCTTGCCTCCCCTCCCCCTCAGTCTGCACTCCACACAACAGCCAGAGTGGCCCATATAAAAAAAGTTTTCATGTCACTCTATTCATATCAAGTATTCTATTCAAAAGCTTCCAGTGGCTTTCCTGTCTCAAAATATCATGGTATTTGATATTTGGGGTCTTACAGCCTACAGGGTTCTACAAATTGTATCCCTGGCTACCTCTCTTACCTCATTTACTGTCATTCTTCTTTGCTCCATGCCAGCCACACTGGCCTACTTTCTATTTCTCAAACACTTCAAGCCAAGCTCTCTCCCACTCCAGGACCATCACATTTCTTTTTTTCCCCCTGAGAACCCTCTTTCAGATATTGGCATGGCTTGCTTCCTGATTGAAGTCTTTGCTCCAACGTCGCCTCCTCCTGATCACCTTGTATATAATAGCACTTCTACTTCTGTGCCATCATTCTGTCCACTTTACCTTGCTTTTTGCTTCTTCATGGCACTTACCACCACCCGATTCATCGTCTCTTTTTGTTGGTTTCCACTAGAACGAGAGCTTCAGGAGAGCAAGGACTTTCTTGTCTACACCGCTTTGTGTCCAGCACTGAGAACAGTGCCTGTTCCATAATAGGTACTTAGTAAATACTTTTCAAATGAATGAATGCATCCTGGAAAAGGCAGGCAGGATGGTTGTGAGTCTTTATATTGGGATGAGCCAGGGGACACCTGGCTGGCTCGGTCAGTAGAGCATGTGACTCTTGATCTCAGAGGCATGAGTTCAAGCCCCATGTTGGGTGTAAAGCTTACTTTAAAAAAAATATGATCGTACAAATAAAAGCACGTAGTGTATATCACCTTGTCCTTGAGAAAAATACGATAAAAGAGAGTGTTTCCTTGGTTCAAACAATATGATTTCCTTAGTAAAAGGATGAGCCAGAAGAGCTAAGATTGTTTTGCCCAGAAGAGAAGAAGAGATGACCACTTTTTTTTAGGCTATTTCCCAAGGAATCCCTGTGTCGGTGGCAGGTAAACAACCCCTAAGATTCTGTGACTCTCTGAAGTGGCAGTTCCCCAATGGACATTGATACTAAGTATCCAACTCAGTAAGGGTTGACATACTAAAATGATTGCAGGACTCCCATCTCTAAAGATGATGGGAGGAGTTGCTCAGATCAGGTTACTTCTGTATTTTTCTGGCTTCAGAAGGTATTTTGCAGCCCCAGCTGATCCCTTCCTTGCCTTGGCACTCTTGAGGACTTGCAGCCTTGGTGATGAGTTCAGGGGTATAGAATCTGTATTTTTGCCAAAATGGAAACCGGCATACTTACCGCCTGGTCACTTGGCAAAGGTAAACTCTTATTGTGGCCTTCTTTGAAGGAATACCTCTTTATTTTTAACTTCATGGGCAATGATTTTCTGTGGAACAGATACAAGCAGAAGAAGGAATTGGAGCATAGGTTGTCTGCACTGAAATCTGCTGTGGAAGGTGGTCAAGCAGATGATGAGCGTGTTCGTGAATATTACCTCCTTCACCTTCGAAGGTGGATTGGTATCAGCTTGGAAGAGATTGAGAGCATTGACCAGGAGATGAAGATCCTGAGAGAAAAAGACTCCTCAACAGAGGTAAGCCTGGTCACTGCCTATCATATAGCTCAAGAAGCTACTGTCAAGAGATTGGAATGTTCTACAGGAGGACGATCGAATTAAAATCCTTTTTAAGTTTTAAGTCTCCCTAAAATCATTGTCCTCATTAAGCTTAGTGGAGGAAGGCTGAAGGTTCACCAGGGTAGCCTTCTCTCTAGCTTGCAGTAGTGTTCCCCAGTGCTCTCTGACCTGTAACACACTTCTAGCCATGTGTAATTTTGTGACCTAAATTGGTTTGGGCTGTGAGACGTCCTGAGTGCTGAAGGAATGCATAGGAAGGTGGGCCTTTAAAATCTGTGCTTGACTATAATAACCAAAGGAGAAAGAGGAAAGGGATGGGAACGGAGAGGGAAAGTGGCACTGGAGGAGGGAGAGAACAGAGTAGAAAGAAGAAGATAAAAGGAACGATCGGGAATATATTTAGGTTGGGAGGAGGAATCCGAATTTAACCTTACACAGTGATGCACTCTCACACCCTTAGATCCCCCAAGTATGAGACACAGAAGGACTTTTCCATACACAAAATGTTGGGTATACTGATAAAGAAAACCTGGTGTGACACAGCTTAGGCTGTCTTTGAAAATCATCACCCTGTTTTGGAGCTGCTGCTTCAGAAGATTGGGCTCTGCTGCCACTTACTTTTTGGTTCAGGATACAAACATGGATTGAGTTGAATTTATCAGCTCTCCACAGGCATTTATTTAAGTCCTCAGAGAGACCTCTTCCTAATTTGATTTGTACTAATTAGCGCAGGAGCTTAGGCCTCCTGGTAACATCAACCTCGCTCCTCCTGTTAAAGGATCCAAGAATAAGCAATTAGTATTCTAAGGCCATAAGGCCCCTAGAGCATATCTAGGTGAATGGCTTGCGGGCATTTTGAGGCTGGACTCTTCTGGGTCCTCCCCTGCCCTGTTCGTTGTTGTTGTTGTTTAATGCTCTCTTATTTGGTATGGGGATTGGCTCTGGAAGTGATGAAGCTACAACCAAGTGAACACCTTTTCTCTGATCATACTTTTGTTTCCTCATGCCCCTGGATAGCCAGGGTTCCTTCAAACATTTCTATACGCCACTATATGAAAACTACCAACACATTCTTTCCCCCTTGCCTTTAGGAACACCCTCTTCTAAAAACCTGGATGGGTTCTTGACAATTAATTGCATAGTTACATCGGAAGGGGGTTTTAGAAGAAAGGTCTTAATGATTCTGCTTTAGCACTCAAGGCCAGGCTGAGGAAAGGGACTTCAGATTCAGCTCAAGGGATTTAGCTGGACCATGGAAAAAGCCTTTGGAATCTCCTTCTTTGGAGGGGAAGATTATAAAGCCAAGGAAATTTTTTACTTTTGGTGAGATGATTTCTGGGAGAGCTTTCTCCTCCTTTTCATTCAGCAGGGTACTCTGGCCTCCTCAGGAGAGCTCAACAGCCTCCGCCATTAGTATTCTGCTGCTATCTCTGAGAGACTGAGAGATAGGGAGCGGGCAAAGTTTGAATCCAGGGCTTTTCAAGCACCTGAAAACTTAAGAGCCTGCATAATGGGGTAGGCAGAATGGCAAAAATGCACTTCTGATAACTTAATTTCCTTTCCAGGCATCAACTTCTCATTCACCTCGTCAGGACAGGCCTCCAATGAAACCCTTCGTACTCACTCGGAATGTGGCCCAAGCCAAGTAGGTAGTACTAAAAAGTGGGTTGCCTTTGTAGGCCCCCTGCTTTTATGGCTCAATTGCAGTGCATGAGTAATGGACAGAATGGGCATTGTTAAAAGGCCACGTCCTCTCCTGTGGTGGCTGTTCTTTCATCAGAGGGATGTTATCTCTAATACTTTCTATATGTCTCTCTCCATCAGACATTTCTCTCACAAACTCAAGCTTAAGAATAGGCCCAAAAGAAAACCAACAAAAATAAATAAATCAGAAAGAGGAAAGGAATCTAATGGAGAATTGCCTACTTCAGTTGTTTCCCATTATTGCCTTCAGCAACAGTTCTCAGAAGGACATTATTTGCCTACTTAGGATTTAATTCTGAGTTCTTGAGATGCTTTTCCATAGGGTGGCAGGAAAGTCTCCTTCCTCTGTGTACCTTTTAGACCCACCAACTATAAAGACCCCTTCCACGTTGTCATCACTGCTTTGTGGGACATTGGCCTCTGGGATTGCCTTCTGGGTGATGATCCTGAGCTATTTATCTTCTCATGAAAGCTCTTGGCTTTAATGCACCTTCCTGGATGCCTGTTTTTACATATCCTCACAGGAGTTTACACAACTCCTCAGAAGATACCTGGGCAGGGGAACAAGGATGAAACAGACACAGGTTTTGTCACTAAAGAGAAGAGGCTTTTTAGTAGTGCTATTTATGTTTAGTGTTCTAAATGTAATGTGATTCTTGCAGAGTATTTGGAGCTGGTTATCCAAGTCTGGCATCTATGACGGTGAATGACTGGTACGATCAGCATCGGAAATACGGAGCATTACCAGATCAGGGCATAGCCAAGACACCACCAGGTATGAAGGGGTAGGAGGAAAGTAGTTATATTCTTGGTTCCTTGCTCACTAGCATTAAATTCCGACCAAGTACTGTTGCCCTTTAGGAGCGGAAGTAATCTGGACAAAGATTCTAGGCGGTATTCCCTTTTTTTTTTTTTAAGATTTTATTTATTTATTCATAAGAGACAGAGAGAGAGAGGCAGAGGGAGAAGCAGGCTCCCCGCTGAGCAGGGAGCCTGATGTGGCACTCGATCCCAGGACCCTGGGATCATGACCTGAGCCGAAGGCAGACGCTTAACCATCTGAGCCACCCAGGCGCCCTAGCCGGTATTTCTTGTTTTATTTATTGTTAAGATAAATAGCAGATGATTCTGGGAGGATGGAAGCAGCGGCTGCATGATTTTGGAATCCTTCCAGATGTCCTGCTTAGCAGACTAAGCAGCTAGATACAAAAAGCCAAAGTCCCATGGAGGGCAGTTCCACTTCTGGTAATGGCAGAGTAGGTTGTACCAAGGCCAATCCCTCCCACAGATAACAGGTACAAACTGAAGAAATTAAAACAACTACCCAAAGGAACTAGAGAATGACCAAGAGCAGACACAGGCTGGAGGGCAGTCAACACTTAGAAGAAGGGAACGGTTGGAATTTCTTGAGGGCACAGTCTTTGACTTAACTGTATTCTTGGTGCCCAACTTGGCAATTAGATCATGGTATATACTTGGAGGCATCTTTGGAAGGAAAAGGTGGAGAGGGTGGCCATTATGAAGATGGAAGCAATATGGTATATTAGAAAAAGGACAGACAAACCTGGGGTAACCAATTATTCCTGCCACTTAATAGATAGGACATCATCTAGCCCCTCTGAGCCTCTGTTTCCTTATCTTGTGTATTATCGCATTTGATCCTCTTAACAGCCCTGTGAAGCAAGCATTCTTATCCCCGTATTAGGAAGAGGAAATGGTGTCTGAGAACTGACTTACACAAAGTCAACAAAGCTAGAAAGTGGCCAGGCTAGGATTTGAATTCGGGTCTTAAAATTCCCAATTCAGGGCTATTTCCACTCTAGCACAGAGAAGAGAAGAGTGGTCATTTGGAAGGGTTGCCTATTTCTTACAGCCTCTCACCCATTGGGAATCTGCAGTCATGGTGATGTGGGGGTAGGTGAAACTGAGAAACATACAGTCTTACTGGTTAAGAAATGAGAGAAATGAGACAATATCCCATAAAGGAGAGAACCACGGAAGAGGAGCCCTGATTCTCTATATACACCTCACCTAAATCTCAGGCTGACACCTAAGCTGTGCGTGCCCGGGATGGACTCCAAGCATCCTAGCTAGGGCTAAAATAACTGAATGGAGGATTCAGCTGCTGCCCAATGCAGAGAAAAGAGAATTTGGAATTTTGGTTCTAGACAAATGAACTGCCTGCTAAAATGAAAAATCAGTACTCTTTAGAGGAAAGAAACAGAATTCAGAGTCTCTACAACATAAAATTCACAAAGTCTGGGGTTTAATCCTAAACCACTATACATATGGGGGAAAGAAAAATAGGAAAACGTGACTTACACTCAAGAGGAAAAGCAGTCACTGGAGACCAACACTAGATGATGCAGATGTTGAAATTCGCAGACAAGGACTTTAAAGCAGCTTATTTGCATATTCAAGGGTAGAGGGGAAAATATGCCTGTAATGAATGCAAAGAAATCTCAGGAGGTAGTGTGTAATATAATTTTATATTTACAAACATACCTGCTACCCCGAGGCAAGTATTATTTTAGTCCATGTGGACTGTTGACCCTTCTTGAGATTACAACATACACATTCCTAAATCATTGTGGGTAGACTTACAAGTATCTTAACTTGTTTCTGGACATGTAACATGTTTATAAACCTCTTAATTTTTAGCAACAATTAGAAAACACCTCCTATTAAAAACACTTCACAAGTTCTACTTAGTGTCAGCCATTGCTGGCAGTCTGTCACTAGAGAATCCAGCAATATCTGGTATGTTACAAGCTCTCAAGAGAGCCTGAACTTCAAAAAGTTGTATCTGATGGATGTAAATTTGCCTCCTAGTTCACTTTGAGTCAGGAGCTAGAACTGTGAACCTAACTTTGTCTTATTGGTGGGTAATAACTGAAAATAAAGATTTTATTTTCTTGCTCAAAAAAAGAAACAAGGAAAAAAGAGGAATAGCAGCAGCAAAGTAGGAACTATACATAAAAAATTCTGAAACTGAAAAATACAGTATCTCAAGTTTGGAAACCCATTAGATGAGCTTAATAGCAAGTTGGCAGTGGCAGAAGAAAGTGTCATTTAACTCAAAGATAGACCAGTACCAATTAGACAGTCTGAAAAACAAAAAATTGGAAAACAGTGAAACAGAGCCTCTGTGACCTGTGGAATAAGGTAAGAAGTTCTATCATATGTACAGTTGAAATACCAGTAGGAAAAGAGAGAGAGAAAGAGAAGGGGCCAGGAAAAAAAATTGAAGAAATGATGGCTGAAATGTTCCCTAAATCAGTGAAACACAAATTTGCAGATTCAGAATAATCAAGCCCCAAGCAAGTTAAATGCAAAGAAAACCACGCATAGGCACATCATAGTCAAACTGCTGAAAACCAAAGAAGAAGAAAATCTTGAAAGCAGCCAGGGATAAAGTACACATTACACTTAGAAGAACAGTGATATGAGTTGTTTCTGACTTCCCATTAGAAACAGTGGGAGCCAGAGACAGTGGAACAACATCTCATAGGTGTTGGGGGAGGGGAGAAGACCTGTCACCCCAGACTTTTATACCCAGTGAAAATATCCATTAAAAAAATGAAGGCATAATTAAGACATTTTCAGATAAAGCTGAAGGAATTCTTCACCAGGAAACTGGCGTTACAAGAAATTCTGAAGGAAGTTCCTTAGGCTGAAGGGAATGAACTACGTATAGCTTCTTCAGGCAAAAATTATAATATCGTCCCATGGGGATTATACTGTATGTAGATGTAATACATATGACAGCCATAGCCAAAACGATGGACTAGATGGAACCATTTTTGGGGAGCTTCTCTTGTTTTATGGAAAGTGGTACGTAATATCTATTGCTGTGTAACAAATTACTCCAAGATGTTGCAACTTAATAAACATTTATTGTCACATATTTTCTGAGGGTGAGGAATCCAGGATCAACTTCACTGGGTGATTCTGGCTTAGGAGCTCTTAAGGTCACAGTCAAGCTGTCAGCTGGGGCAGCAGTCTTCTGACAGTTTGACTGAGGCTGGAGGATCTGCTTCCAGCTCATTGGCTCATTCATGTGGCTATTGGCAGAGGCCTCCCCTTGTGGATCCCTCAGTGGGGTCGCTCACAGCTAGGAGCTTCCTTTCACCCAGAGTGAATGATCTGAGTGAGAATGATCAGGATAGAAGCCCCAGTATCTTTTATAATCTAACATTGGAAGTAACATCCTGACTTCTGCCATATTCTGTTGGTCACATAGTATGGGAGGGGACTCCATAAAAGCATGACTACCAGGAGGCTGAGATAGTTGGGGTCCATCTTTGAGGCTGCCTCCCACATGGTTCAATATTAACTCTAAGTAGACTGGAAAGTTAGGAAGGAATATTGTATTACCTAGAGCAACCACTTAAAAAATAATGCCTCAAGGGGTGCCTGGGTGGCTCAGTCGGTTGAGTGTCCAACTCTTGATTTCAGCTCAGGTCATGATTTCAGGATCATGAGATCAAGGCCTGTGTCAGGCTCATGCCCTCTGCTTGGGGTCCTCCCTCTCCCTCTGCCCCTCCCCCTGCTCACACTCCCTCCCCCCCCAATAAATAAATAAATAAATAAAATCTTTTTAAAAAATAATGCATCAAGAGAATAAGAAGACAAGCCACAGACAGGCAGAAAATATTTACCAAAGACACATCTGATAAAAGACTCTTATCCAAAACATACAAAGAACTCTTAAAACTCAACAATAAGGAAACAGACAGCCGCAATTAAAAAATAGGCAGAAGACCTGAATAGACACTTCACCCAGAGAAGATCTACAGAGGGCAAATAAGCTTATGAAAAGAAGCTCAACATCACATGTCATTAGGGAATTGCAAATTAAAACAACAGTGATACCACTACGCCCATGTAAGAATGGCCAGAATGCCAAACGCCAACACCACCAAATGCTGGTATGGAAATGGAGCAACAGGGACTCTAATTCACTGCTGATCGTGATGCCAAGTGATACAGCCACTTTGGAAGACAGTTTCTTACAAAACTAAACATTCTCTTACCATACAATCCAGCAGTCCTCCTCCTTGATGTTTACCCAAATGAGTTGAAAACTGAGGTCTACACAAAATCCTGCACACAGGTGGTTATGGCAGCTTTATTCATAATTGCCAAAACTTGAAGCAACCAAGATGTCCTCAGTAGGTTGAATGGATAAAGTGTGGTACGTCCAGACAATAGAATAGTATTCAATGCTAAAAAAAAAAAAAAAAAGCTGTCAAGCCATAAAAAGACACGGAATAAAAAGACATGGAAAAACCTTAAATACAGATTACTAAGTGAAAGAAGCTGATCTGGGAAGCTACATGCTACATGATTCCAACTATAGGACTTTCTGGAAACGGCAAACCTGGAGAGACAGTAAATGGATCAGCGACTGCCAGGGGTTTAGAGGAGGAGGAGGGACAAATAGGTGGAGCACAGAGGATTTTTAGGGCAGTGAAACTATTCTGTATGATGGTATAACAGCAGATACATGTCATTATATACATTTTTCCAAACCCACAGGATGTACACCACCAAGAAAGAACCCTGTTGTAAATTACTGTGGACTTGGGACAATACTGATGTGTCAGTGTGGGTTCATTGATTGTAACAAATGTACCACTCTGGTACAGGATGTTGGAAGTGGGGGAAGCTATGCCTCTGTGAGGGCAGGGAGTATATGGCAACACTGTGTATATTCCATTCAGTCTTACTGTGAACCTAAAACTACTCTTAAAAAGTAAAGTCCGCTTTAAAAAGTAAGGCAAAGAGACAAAGCTTATAAAG